TGCATATTAAGGCCAAGTTTGGCAAGTTGGGAAAAAAAACCAAAAAGTCAAAAAGTTATTACTATTCACAGGAAGTCAAAAATTACGCCTACACAATTCCGAATTCTAATTTTGCCTTACACATTAATTTATACAATTTTTTAATACACATTTTTTTATAAAAGTCAAAAAGTTAACCCAAACATCCACATTTTTTTCATCCACAAAGACATTGGACGGTACGCAACTGTCCAACGTGCATATCGATTATCTCATTGGACAACATTTCATTCACATAATTGTCCTCCCAATCCACCCCTGTAAATCTTGAACATTCCCCTCATTTGGGCTACCATAATAATTTGGGAAGACCATGCCGCCATCATGCAACTCGACTCCCATGGTAGGGTCAACACCCTTTTCCTTTGAGCGAGGCAATTGTGCTGTTTCCGATAAACCTGCCAGCACTTGCTGCATCATTTGCTTCATTTCAGCAATATGTGTCTGTTTAGTAAACGGTTGTTTCCCAGACAATATAGCTGCAACCAGTTCGTTCAGCATTCCTTTCAGTTCACTAATGCTGGAGGATATGTTAATGTTACAATTTCTTTCAGTGGACTCCACCTAATCACACAAACACATACATTAACCTGGTACGATATTTCATCTTCAAGTAACCTTTGTGAACTGTGTGAAGCATGTGTACTGATTGCTTTTGCTTACCTTTGCATTGTCAACAGCTTCATTCCCTCGGAAATTGACCAACATGTCCCTTATTTTCGCATTGCTGTGAAGCACTTGCTTCATGGTTTCCTTCAGTTCACCAATGTCGGTCTCAACCTTGCTCAAACGAACATCATCAATCCGTGGTTTCTGTTTGTTATTGACATGGTGTGTGTCAATTGCGTCATCAATGTTGTTGCTTTCCGCTTTTGTTGGATGAAACTCCACCTAACATAGTTGTCAAATCGGGATTCAAAACATAAATGAAAATGGTAATGCACTGAATCGTTAATCGATCTCAACTGTGAATCGTAAAGTTTCGGTCTGCTTTCTTAAGTTACACACAACATATGTGTACACACTTTACATATTAGATATATCTAATAAAAATTAATTACTCCATTTGTCTGAAATGAAAAAAAAAATTTATTATAAATGATGCTCATCTGGTGTGGATAAAAACTTCACAGTCGATCCCATGTTTACCACTTTACCTTTTCCCAATTACATAAACAAAGAGAAACTTGCAATTACAAACTAACTAACAATAACTTAACGACAATGTTTTGACCTTTTTACAAGGTTAAAAAACCAAAATCTTCAAGCTTTTCCAAAAATCTGACTTCAGGGCTTAACCAAAATTCATTTCGTAACGGAAGTAGTACATAAAATTGAATTTGTAAGGCTACAACATCGTCCATATGGAAATTTCATGTTTTTCCCCCAAAAGTTCGAGTATTTCAGAGTAAATAGGGAGGGACAAACTGAAAATATGACGTACGCTAAGGAATGGGTCACTGTTTGTCACTGCTTGTCACCTAGTCATAGGAACACAAATTCTGTCTGTCACCGTTATCCATAACACAGGTGGGGCAATGCTGTCAAATGTGCAGAACGAATGGGTTGATTACCTCATGTTGCTGCAACATTTGCTTCCTTCCCATACGTCGCCTCGTCTCCCGTATTTCGGCATCACCCCAATCATTTAGCCGAGGGATGAAGCGTGTAGTAGCTGACGTACTCTTACAGGGAGGGGCAAAACGATCCAAGTAAAATAGCTGCATTATAAGGGGGAAAAGATATTTACTATACACTTCCGAGCAAAATAATCTGTATTCGCTAACAATGCATACAACTCACAACACAATCATATGTATGTGTTTATGTATCTCGATGGCAGAATCCCCATGCAGCTTTCTGGTTAAAAAGATAAGCTCTTTCTGGTTACAAAAATGTGGCCCGTACAAGTATATTTGTCATGCTGTTCAATAACAGGTAAGTTTGTATTTCGCGACGATTGTCATTTTATTGAACCATATTCACAGCAATGGATGAAATATGTAATCAACATGGTACAAACAAACAATGGTCGATTATGTTACCATTAGAAGGAAAACACATCCAGTTGCCTCGTGCTGAACTTTCATCTTATACTTCCGAACACCTTTGACAAGGAATTGCAGTGTCACCTTTGACCAATTACATGCCCCCATACCGGTCACGTCCTTCACGGCATAAACGAACGACAGGCTCAACGCGGTCATTGTGGTAGGACACAACATGGCCCTCAATACGTACAGCGCAAACTTCCGCCGAAACTCGTCATCCGCACCATCACTCTCAGTCAGATAAACTCTCAACTGGTTCAAAGGAATGATTCCCTTAACAGCTCCAACCTCTTCGTAGATATTGGGATATGCGTCTATTGAACCAGTGAACTGCATGTCATTGCCTTCTGACCGTATACCCAATAAGACATGCACTTCCTCACAGGTGAGCCTTAGGTGACGGCCATGAACAGTCAACGAACACGTGTTGGGATCGAAGTTCTGTACTAACCATTGGCGCATGTTGTGATCTATACGGGTACACTTTAACCCGAGGAGGCCACCGAACCCAATATCAATGACTGTCTGCTTTTGTGCTTCGTTACACCGGTTCACGATATCAACAATTGCCTTCAATGATATACGGACTTGCATTTTACTCTGCAATGTTATTAACGTGAACACTAATACAAAAAATTAACCAACATTGTGTCGATCGCAGGTCCTCCCCAAATGCAGTTACGAAAACACTAAGCACGTAAGTACCTTTGCAGATTTCTTTGCAACTTCTTCGCCCAGTTCCTTAGCACTTGCCTTAGCCATGTCCTGAAACCTCTTCTTCTCATCACAGGGGAGTTCCTTCCACCTTTCCCCAATATCCTTTCGGCTCTGTAAGTGTTACACCAACGTCACGCACGTACAGGACAAATAGGAGCTGTAAGTCCAAAATAATTGTCAGCAAAAGTTGTATCACTCGCAATGTGTGCACATTTTCTGGTATTTACATATGCTTGCACATACAAATTACTATTTCGCACACAGTTGAAATAAAAACGGACATGGAATTTTACAAATAATCGGAGTTTATAAGAACATGCAATATGGCTTCTATGACTGCTGGAAATCGCTGAATGCGACACAATAGAAGCACATGACTGGTGCTCGCATGGAATAGAAGTCCGTACTATTAATTACTCCATTCGTCTGAAATGGAAAAAAAATGTTGTTGTAAATGATGCTCATCTGGTGTGGATAAAAACTTCACAGTCGATCCCATGTTTACCACTTTACCTTTTCCCAATTACATAAACAAAGAGAAACTTTCAATTACAAACTAACTAACAATAACTGAACGACAATGTTTTGACCTTTTTACAAGGTTAAAAAACCAAAATCTTCAAGCTTTTTCAAAAATCTGACTTCAAGGCTTAACCAAAATTCATTTCGTAACGGAAGTAGTACATAAAATTGAATTTGTAAGGCTACAACATCGTCCACATGGAAACTTCATGTTTTCCCCCCAAAAGTTCGAGTATTTCAGAGTAAATAGGGAGGGACAAACAAACTGGAATTCCAAAATACTTCCCCAGGCAAGCATCTTGTATTGGGGTGCAGTTGTAATCCTGAGGCGCAAGCTATGAGTTCAAAATATGTAATGCAGAATTGTGCAAAAATACTGTCACACGTTTCTGATGAGAGGGATTCGTACTGTGAGCTGCTTTGAAGGACACGGATCGAACCTTTAAAAAATAAATGGCCCAAGTGGCCGCTTTCGACGTGGGGGCTCGGTAATGTCAACCCTTTCCATTCCTGAACCTTTGTCACTTGCCTTCAATGTTTTCCTTTGCCAGTAACAAATATCAGCTTAAATGAAATTTTGTTCAAGGCCAAATTACATCGGTGGTATGTACGTTTTGTGCATCCTATCATCTTCGT